ATCAGGGAATTGTTGAATTGTTGATCAGTAACGGTCTTATACGCTAATACTATGGTAAGTATTGAGGCGATATGCAGCAAAAATCTCAATACCATTGAAATTGTAGGGGTCTACACTAAACCTAGCTTGTGAAGTATGCAGACTTGAGACAGAGCCAGATGTTTTCAGGCACATCCTTAGCTGGTGTAAAGTGTCATAGCCCTACCGCCTTTGAGAGACCTCTGACACCAGCAGAGGGCTTGTTTCTTGGCTATCATGAAGGATGTTGGTGATGTCAAGTTAATGAAAATGTAACACTGACAAACCACAGACACGTGAAAAGAGGCGGCACAGTTAACTGTGAGAGTGCTAAGCGGAGAATCTCTGGGCATCTGAGAAATGCAAGTAGCAGATAATGTGAGCAGTCTGCCTTAAGGGAAGTCTTGGAAAGCAGGCGTTTGTTAGCAGAGGAGAACAACTATAAGACCACAAATATTTCCATTTGGAAAGAGGAAAATAATTTTTAGTACCTAAAGAATGAATGGGCGGGTCCTCAGTGGATATTCAACTGAATTCATCGAAGCTTAGTTGATATCCACCGGCTGATAATTCTGTATTATTTTTTTCAGTTTGAAGTGTTACAGACTCTCGTATCAGAAATGCTCAGATGATTAGCAAAAAATAAAATGAAACAGATGAAGGTAATGGGGTGGAAGGCTCATATTGCTATTTCTGAAGCATATCGCCTATTAGATGTTCTCCACATTTCCCATATACACCTTCTGCCAGGAAAGAGGCTTCTTTCGCCTACTTGAAAACTTTTCTTAAACAGAAAGCAGTAACCCACAATCAACGTGAAATATTTGCCAAACATATCTTCACACTAACACTTTGTACTGTGCTTTACTTTTCATTAGAGGATCTCAGAACATCTTTCAAACATTAATTAAGCCTTTAAAGAACCCCTCTAATTACTGTATTGCTGTTTTACAGATGGAGAGGTAGAGGCATAAAAAAGTTAAAAGATTTGCCACAAGTCTGTGACAGAAGCAGAAAGGAATTGAACCCAGGAGTGCGACATGCTGATCTCCAGCTTGAACTGCTGGATGATTCTCCTACTAATTAAGCATATTACAGCTAACACAGCGGAGTCATTTGCCATATTTAGAAAAGTATTTATGTGGGGCTTGTTTGGGTCAATAATTTTGTGTTAATGAAGTATCATTGTTGGAATACTGCAGATTACTCTCATGAACCCTACTTCTGGTCAATGTCTTCTTTCTTAACCCTCTTACTTTTGGAGCATTAAAGTTAATATGTGCATGTAAATGGTATTAAGCACAAGAGAAAATATCATATTGAGCAGTGGGGCAGTGGAGATGTAACAGATTGGGTCGTTTAGAACCGGGTCTAACTCCCACTGAACTCAACGCCATTCTCTTGACTATCTTCAGCAAAAGGGGAATCAGGCCCTTCGTGATCTTACATCTCATATAATGACGAAGGCTTTAGAGGCACACTAAACCCCCTCCACCAAAAAAAGAAAAGTGCAGAAAGGATTTAGGTATTTGGATTTCTGACTGAAGAAAGTACCATTTTATGCAGAGTACACCAGTAAGAAATGAAGTGAAAGACTGATTCTGGGAGAGATTTGAATACAATCACCTGCAATGTGAGGATATGTACAGGCGCAGTTGCTAGAACAACAGAACTCTCCTACACTAAGATTTCTAAGTTTCTAAAAGGAAATTCAAAGCCCTTCTAATTAATAAGTAGGATGTCCCTTCTTCTCCTTTAATGGAATCAATTCAATATTGTTCATGTAAGCGTACAGAGATTACAAAGGAGAAATACTGCGATAGTCAAGTGCCATTACTGAACATGGCACAGGAATAATCTTGTTAGATGAATAAAAACCTCCTGTATCAAATGGTAAATGAACATGATTATTATGATGATTATTATGATTTTAATGGGCAAAGAGAGCTACCCATTAAATGCACAAGCTGTTTGAATCCACGTGCGTACTGGTGAAACTCAGCAAATACGTTGTTCTTGTTCACCTAGTCAAGCAGTTACTAGTGCCACCGTAATCAATAAGACTGGCTGTAGCATGAGTCCATTGGCCAGGACGGTACCCAGGCTTTGCAGAAAACAAATGATACAGAATCACTGAGATGACCCTGAAGAGCTGTGAATTTGGAAATCTGAATATCTCAAATCTGGCCACTGACTTGCACAATGCCAGCATAACTCTCCTGATTTCAGGACACATCCACTGCTTTCAGTAGCAAAACTAGGTTCACAGAGAGGTCAGTCAAGCCCTGAAGGTTGTGTACCCTGGCAAAAAAATATTGTGGAAACCCTCCCCACCCCAAAAATAGTTTTAAAATGGTTAAAGCACAACACCTCTTGCAAATTTTCTTAATGCAGAACATCGAATAACCATAGCACATCACGTACCGCGCATAACCAATTTAGACTGGCATCTCCTCGGCTAGACATATTGCACAGGGCTTAGCGTGGTGCTCATTGGCTTTGGGCTCCAGGGATGAAATAAAGAGAGCTCTGGAAAACTTGCTCTTCAATGCAGTTTAAACAGTTTCACTCCATTCTAAATGTCAGGCTAAAATTTTCTAGAATTTTAAACTGCCAAGTCGACACAGGCAGGTGATTTCAGAGGAACGCATCCTGAGCACTATTGTACCAATATTTTTTTAAAGCCTACTCTTTGCTATAGGAGGCCAAGAATACCTGCATCGATAAGGTGTGCTGTGCTTTTTTTTTCTTTTTTTTGCTAGCTATGAGCTGACAAATAAATGTTATATTCCTTTATGCTCTATTGTACTGCTGCAAATCCCACACTGCTCTGGGAAAGGGTGGGGTTGGGGGGAAGAGACATAGTGCAATGACATCACTTTCTCAAGTAGTAAAGGATTTGCCAGGGTCTCTTGTAGTGCAGTGGGGAGCCATACATATCACAGTAGGCCTTTGCAACGTGACTAGACTTATACTGAAAGACAGCAATACCGGGATGAATGTCTCTGAAGGTACCTGAGAAAGAACTGGGATGGCACGAGGAGACAACCAAAGGAGCCAAACTGTCAGCTAGCAAAATACAAGAGATCACAGAACAAATACTGCTGTTTGAGAATTATGATCCTTTGGGAGCATGGCACCAGGTCGTAAGCTCTCTGGCATTTTGTATGTAGCTTTGGAAGACAGTGCAAATACTTTATACTTGGTGCCAGGTGTCTCCTGACAAGTTCAGGAACGGGAAATTCCTTGCCATATAGCAGCAGGAGTTATCTCCAGCAGAAGGCAGCTTCTTTCAGGGCACTGTGTTGGTTGGGGCAGCTTTAAGTTCAGGTGTTAGGGGACCATGCTGGTGAGAGCTGCTTGTGGGATCTTTTAAATCAGTGCTTCCTATGGCCAACTTCCTTCCTCCTCACCATGGCTAATGTTTCATTCCAGGCATGGCCCTGTGGAGGCTGTAAGGCAGGTCAGATGCTGCAGAGGCTTTCTGGATGAAACGATCCCCTGCCACACACTACTGAATACACATTTATCCATTAGGGCTGAATCAGATGTTTTCCTAAAGCAGTTTTTCCCAGTTATTACTAGAAATATTGATGCATATTGCCAGGATCAGATCCAGATAGTAAAAACAATGCTATACCATTGCATGGCTTAGAAGACTGGCAATGTGGGGGCCTTTCATTTCTAGTCTACAGGGATGACTCAGACTGATAATACCTGAAGGTCATTGCCATCTGCTGGTTAGAGTATGCATGTGAAATGAACTTGTGGCCTCAGTCCAGATCTTAAGTGAACAGGTGTCCACCTTGCAACAGTTGGCAGCCCTTGAGTCTTGTGTGTATACTGTGCACGTGGTATCTCTTATGCATGTGGTAGCTCTTATATATGGTATATATATGGCTTCATTTCCCCAGGACGATCAATCTGCCACCTTTTGCAAATTTAAAAAATGACAACAGAACCATGGCAATCTTCAGGAACTGATACACTGTGGGCTTGATTCAACTCAGCTGGCTCAGAAGGATGTCAAATAGATTAAACAATCTGTCATTTACTATCTTCAAGTTTTCCAGTCTCTCTTTTTCCACAGCTTCCTGTTGCACTTACCTAATTCATTCTTGCTATTATTACTAGTTCACAGATTGTTCATGAATGTCCTTATGTTATGGGAACCAAAACTGATTGTGTGCCTTCATTTATTTTGACCACATTAAAGGTGATCCAACTGGACACAGGTATCTAGTCAGGGAGAAGGTAGACAGGCTATGTTTAGGGCAATTTTTCAAGCCCCCTCCCAATGTGGGGTGAGTGGAGCAGATCCTGAACAGGGTTTTCACCAGTTACAGCTGCCGAATCATACTCCTGCCTCTTCCAAGTGCTAGACAACCTTCTTGTAATTGTTGCCTTCATGTCTGTTCATGACTTGGACCATCCAGACCTCACAATCCTGCTCCTGTCATCACTAGCTGGTCACCAAAGGCCTTGAAAAATGTTCTGGAAAAGCTGTTTTCATGGAGGATGTCTGTGCATGATTTCTTTTATTGTGGAGAAGCTGTTCCACACGGTTCCTGACAGAACAGGATCTTAATCCAATGGCAAGGAGGCCAAAACAATTGGAGATCTTGTCCTGCTATAGCCTTCACCTGCTTTAGCCATTGAGATTCTAATATATTCTTCTGCCTGCTCCAGTATTGACGTGTACTCATCATGTCACAGCACTGTTAAAGGATATCCAGGAGTTAAAGCATTGTCATCTGCTGTCCCAGTACATCCTGGTGGTGCTGCCACTGCTTGGTCTGTAATTCTTTATTTGTTAGAGTTACCCCTGCTTATTTCACTGCTAACTTCCCCTAAAGATCATTTCTTTATCCGCCACCTGTGTACACACTTTGCTAATAGTGAATGCTCAGAGTGCTGCACCACAACCATGCCTTGAGAATTCAGGTGACAGAAAATCAATGCTGCTGCGCTGAGTGAGAGACAGGGAGCAGGAGATGGGCAGCTCAAAGAACATGGAGTTGGCTATACCTCCTTCTGGAAGGGTAAAGAGGAAGGAGAACACCAGCATCATGGACTTGGTTTTACCATCAAGAATGAACTCATGAACTAAGTGAGTACCCTATTGGAATTAATGAGCACCTCATGACTCTCTGTCTTAAGCTGGCAGAGAGCCAATATGCCACTAATCAGTACATATACCCTGACTCTTGATGCTGCCGATGAAACCAACGAGGACTTCTATGCCAACGTTGACCAAGTTCTTTCTGATGTTTAGGAGGGAGCCAGACTTATTCTTCTTGGTGATTTCAACACCAGAGTCAGAAGGGACTCATACCTCTGGAATGGAACCATCAGCAAGGAAGGAACAGGAAAAGTCAATTTCAACAGCATCCTCCTCTTGACCAAATGTGCGGAAAATGGACTCACAATTACCAACACCCCATTGCATCAGAAAAACAGGCACAAGACATCATGGCAGCACCCATGATCTAAGCATTAGCAGCTGAGGGACTATGTCACTGTTTGTGCTTGGGATTAGAAAGATGTTCACATCACCCAAGCTATGCTAGGAGCTGAGGATTGCTGTACTGATCAGTGACTCATCTACTCAGTTATATCACTCAAACTGGCTCCCAAACAATAGCTGCAGTGGAACAAGGTCAACAGAAGATCAAAGTTGAAAGACTCAAGGACCTACTCAAGCAAGACCTCTTCTACCAGTGCCTCAATGAAAAACTGGTGAATTCCAATCAACAACAATGGCAGAATGTCAGCAGTGCTTAGGGTGTCTTCAAGTCCACAATCATCATAGCCTATGAAGACACACTGGGAAACATCAAGATTGGTTTAATGACAATGATTGGGAGATCCAGGAGTTGATCAACCATGAGTACAAGGCCTTTTGTGCTTGGTAGAATGACATCAGCTCCAAACAAAAGAAACTGAATCACCAACAAGCCAATGCAGTGTCCAAAGGAGGACCTGTGATATGAAGAACAGATGGTGGGAAGACAAGGCAAAGGAGATTCAACATCCCACTAATATTTCTTAGATTTCATAGACATTAGGGCTGGAAGGAACTTTGCAAGATCATTAGGTCCAGCCCCCTGCCCCAGGGGCTGGAAGTCTGCTGGGGTCAAATGATCCCAGCAAAATAAGCATCTAAGTGTGTTTTAAAGGTGTCCAAAGTAGGTGCTTGCACCACTTCTGGGGGGAGTCTATGCCAGACTCTGGAGACTCAGACGGTAAAGAAGTTTTTCCTTCTGTCCAGCCTAAAATGGTCTTGCAGGAGTTTGTGACCTTTGGACCTTGTCATCACCTGGGGTGCTCTGGTGAACAGGTGTTCCCCCAGATCCTGGTGCACACCCCTAATATACTTATAGGCCACCACCAAGTCCCCCCTGAGCCTTTGCTTTTCCAGGCTGAAGAGTCCCATGCCTCTCAGCCTTTCCTCATAAGACTTGTTCTCTTGTCCTCTGATCATGTGCACATCCATGATATAAGTGTTTTTTTCAGTGCCGCTAAAGCCAGCTGATCTGAGCACTGAGGGACTAACCCCCCTGAGACTTAAGGGTAGAGGAAACCTGATAAGGAAATGGGACCAATTAACACCCTTTGGCAGAAGCATTTTAAAGACCTTCTCAATTGAGATTCTCTGATGAGAATGCTCTCAACTCCATCCCACAACATCCAGTCAGAGATTAGCTAGGAATCTCTCCAACCCTTAACGAGGTGAGGAAAGACATCAAACAGATAAAGAATGACAAGTCATCTGGAGCTGATGGAATCCACACCACATCTTCAAGCGGGGGTGGGGAGAGGAGCTCACATCACAGCTCCATGCCCTCATCTTAAGGATTTGGAAGGATGAGAAAATCCCAGATGACTTCAGGTACACAATGATAGTGACAATCTTCAAGAAAGGAGACAAGTCTGACGGTGGGAATTATAAAGGGATCACCTTGCTGTCCACCACAGGAAAGATCATTGTGACAACTCTCCTGAACCGTATCCTTCCACTTGCTGAAGAGCTCCTCCTAAAATCTCAGTGTGGGTTTAGGGCATCAAGAGGCACAACTGACTTGATCGTAACAGCCAGCTACAGGAAAAATGCTGGGAACAACATAAGCCTCTTGACATGGCTTTCTTTGACCTCACGGAAGCCTTCAACTCTGTCAACTGAAAAGCACTGTGGAGGATCTTTCTGAAGTATGGATGCCCACCAAAATTTGTCACCATTCTCTGCCTGCTCCATGATGGTATGTGAGCAGTTTTTCTCAGTAACAGATATATCACAGATCCCTTTGAGGTTAAGGCAGAAGTTAAGCAAGGCTGTGTAAACACTCCAACACTCTTTTTGATATTCTGTGATGCTACATCTGACCACCAACAAGTTTCCAGTTGGAGTGGAGCTTGTAACAAGTGGGCACTCCAAGATGAGTTGAGTTGTTGGCTGTCTCTGGGATAACTGCCTGCCTACCTCTCCTGCCATACCTTTGATGTCACAATTGAAAGTTGGTAACAAGTTGGAAGGCTATCCATTTACTGGCCCTGATGTCAAGGGCCTATATACACAGCTCCGACCTCTCCTATACCATGTCCCATGCCTTGAAGATGGCATCCATGGCCTAAAACCCAGCCTTTAACTTGCTTGGCCTAACACCTGGCCTATAAACCCTTTCCCTCACACTGGGACCCACACTCCAGTGCCTCACGTTGGGATTCTCACTCCTATGCCCTCACATTGGAGCTCGCAGTTTCTGTGCCCTCACACTGGGATCTCACTCAATCAATCGGGGCTCCCAGCCCTCACCTTTCCCTCGGGTTCCAACTCAACTCGAGACCCTCCTGGTCCCCTCATGCCCCCACAAAGAGGCCTCATCCCCTGCCCAACACTGGGCCTCAATCCCCTGGTCAACACAGGGCCTCAACCTTCTGCCAAACACTAGGTCTTAATCCCCTTGCACCTAGACCTTTGCACCCAGCTCTCTTGTAGGCTTAGGGCCCCACCTCCTTGGAGCCTCACACCTGGCTCCTTTAGTTTCCCTCAGGCCTTGCTGTGGACCTGGGCTGTCTCTGACCCCTTCACCTGGTAGACCCTGCCTCAGACTCCACATAGTAACCTGGGCCCCTGCTTTGTTCTTGGTGTGTGCTCCCCTAGATTTCCTCTCCACGGGGTAACCCGCAAGGCAGTGGGGGCTGAGGTTTTCTGGCACCCCATACGTGGCCTTCACTAGGGAGGCAACTGGTGTGGCATTTCCTGGAAGCTGCCCTGCAGGAGGCAGCCCCACCATACCATCCTACCCAAGCAGGGTGTAATTTTAGGTCATGCTGCAGGACCAGGAGCCTCCGCCTTCCCTTACCATAGCTCCTGCTCTGTACCTCCAAGATATCATGAGCAGTAGCTCCAGCCAGGTGGTGTTCTTCTCCTGGCTGCTAGCAGCAGACTGCTGGCTTCACGGCTCAGAGCCCTTTTCTTATAACAAGGAGCTGGGCCCTATTCCCAATCAGGTAGTTGTGCCTGATTAGGAGTGCAGACAGCTTCAGGCTGCTCTGCTGCTTGCCTAAACCCCTGTGAGTAACAGAGCTAAACTACCAAATGGATGGTAAGATGTTTAATCTCATCTGACTCTGAGCCAAAACCAAGACCACCCCAACCTCAATCAGTGAGTTCCAGTAAGTGATGATGCTGTAGTGTTTGTCCACTCAGAAGCAGACCTTCAGGCAATCGTCAACATCATACAAATGTCACACAAATGTCTGAAGCACATCAACAGTACACAAACATGTGAAGTCATGCAGGAGCTTCCTTGCCAGCACCCAGACTTTTGACGCCACACCCCAGGAGACACAACTACAGATGTGGAACAAGAGGCTGAAGAAAATACTTGACAGAGAAAAAATGGACATTCCAGTGGCCAAGTCCTTGCAACCAGGGGCTGATGAACTATGGCAAAGGTGGCAATATCTCAACCGCCTATGTACCAGAGTTGGATGCTCCAAGGAACTAATGAAGAAGTGGAGCTACACCATTGGTTCAGCCACCTGTGACTGCAGCATAAAGCCTCAGACTATGCAACACTTGTTGTAATTCAGCTGCTTGAAGGGATATGTATAATGAAAGATCTCACAAAGTACAATAAACAAGCACAAGCCTGACAAGCACAAAATGGTCAAATATGGTGTAGAGACATTAGAAGAAGGCTCAGGCATACAAGGAAATGGTTCTGATGCTTACCATTCAGAAGACTAAGGTCCTCCACCAAGTTTTTAATGACGAGACCCCAGCTCCAGTAATTCAGAGTCATGGTGAGACTCTGGCGAGCAGTGAGTATTTTCTGTACCTCAGAAGCCATCTCTTACAGAAGGCTGACATCAATAAAGAAATCCAATGTCACCTCAAACGTGCAAGTGCAGCCTTGGGATGCCTGAGGAAATGGGTGTTGACAGATTGCAACATCAGATCTGAAACCAAGCTCATGGTTTATCAGGCAGTTGTGATCCCCACCTTACTATATGGAGCTGAGACATAGACAATGTACAGGAGATACCTCAAGTTATTGAAGAAGTATGATCAATGTTGCTTGCGGAAGATCCTTTGAATCCAGTAGGAAGATAGATGTACCAACATTTGTGTCCTCTCACAAGCAAACACCATAAGCATCAAGGTGATGATCATCCAACATCAACTTTACTGGGTCAGCTGCATCATACAGATGTCTGACTCCAGACTTCCAAGGCAAGTTTAATCCCCAAGTTCAGTCAAAGCATATATGCAAGAGGAGGGCAGAGAAAATGCTTCAAGGACATCCTCAAGGGCAACTTGAAAAAATGCAACATCGACATCAATTCATGGGAGATTACTGCACAGGACTGCTTCAAATGGAAGAAGAGTCTCAGGATCTCAGTACTTTGAAGTCTTACAATGATAACAGGAGATGGAAAAGTGGTGACAGCAGAAACAGCATGTTGCAACCTGAATCAGGAATGTGGAGTCACCTACCTCACATGGAAACATGTGCCTGAATTGCTGCACAATCTGCCATCTTTGGACCCATGGATAAGACAGTAATGGAAAACAATCATCCTTGACTGCAAGGCATTGCTGAAGAAAAAGAAGACTTGGTAACAACAGTAAGCATGCAGCTGTGGA